GGAACAAAGATTCCATGGTTTCTATGGGTCCCGGGGGCATTATAGTGACGCATACTGATGGTAGAGCAGAATTTTTTCAGCCTTTTCTTCAGCTTCTGGAATTAAGGTGCAAAGTACTGAGTATTTATTGGGGGCAAAAATACATGGAAAATCATGCCACTGGAAACTGGTAGCTAGTGATATTAATGGCACAAACAAGACAAGAGGACTGCATGTGCCCTGTGAGTTGTCTACCTCTGCCATAAGCTATGGTTTATTAATTACAATTGCAAGGTGCACATAACCTGCTAACCCAAAAGAACACACATTACACTATGGTTTAAGAGATTATCTGATAAGAATCATTTATAATTAATATTCATTCTAGATCACCACACCCATTTCTAGACCACACATTAAGGAACAAGAGCAGGAACACCTTTACTGCAACCTTCATCAGCTTCTTTTCTTTGCATGTTAATTTTTAGACACCTGTCTGGGAAAGAAAAGGCCAATGTTCACTCACTTTAATGCAATATGAGATGCAATTATCTTCGTAGTGCTTACAGCATCTGTGCCTTGGCCCATTTTTGCATCTGAAAAAGTAAAAAAACCAGTATTGACTCTCTAGATTTCTTTTGCAGTTCCACAGGTATATGTTCCACTTTCTCCAAAACATACAAAGTATTCTCACCAAGGGTTTATTTATGATACTTAAATGTAGATAAGTGAAACAATAAGTTCTGAAATGTTGTATAACTTATACAAATAAAGGCAAAAGCTTTGTTCAAAAGAGAACAGATAATCCCACAATAGGATGTCACTGGGAAACCCACCCACAGGACCCAAGAAAAGCAGCATTCTTTCTTCCAATTCTCCAGTAACTGGCATTAAAAATTATATTGCCTCCAATACTGGGAATAATATGTAAACCTAACAATAGGAGCTATTAAATTCAAATCCTTCACAAATTAGTTTAATTCTACTTTATAATCAAGTTGGTGACTATCACAACACTCTCTTGTAACGAGCCACTATTTATTAATTTAATTGCTTACTTTCTAATTATACTTTCTGATAGCAATCCTCTGTCAGAAAACTATGCTAATTCCAACTTCAATTCCTTCTGTCTTAAAAAAAAAACAGTGCAAGAATGTATAAATTCTTGTGTTCATTTTGCCACAGAAAAAAAGGCTGGGACCTCCTTCCGTGCCTTCACTTGGACATCAGAACCTTGTTACAAGCCATACCATGGCACCAGCCTCGACAAAGAAAGCTCAGTGATATCTAACAGCTACACTCCAAAGGCCATTTAACCGCCATCTCGATTTCTAGAATAATTTTATGAAAAAAGGGCCCCATCATCTGAGAGATCTGCAGGTAGCCAGGAATGTGTCTGGCAGTGTGATACACCTGGCTGGGGAAATATCAGAGAAAGAGGGCACACAGCTGGTTGGGAGATTATATATTTGTCTTTCCAGATCCAGCAGAGAGTCTGTACAGCCTGCCAAATTTATATTCTTCCAAACTCACAGGACTTCACTTTCCATGAGCGTTATAACGGTACAAATTCTACTGTCATGTGGAATTCCAACAGTTTTATGACAGGCAGAGAATTTGAAAGTGATAAATACTTCAGGGAAGGCTGTCCAGTTGTTAGACATATCAACTGGAATTACAAGTAAATCAATTTGATACTGGTTCTAGAAATTAAATTTTCTTGTACTCAAGTATTTCTGGTTGGAGCACAAAACAACATTACTCAATCTTCATACTGTGCCAAATGTTTTTGGAAGCTTTGAATTATGCGCTGCAAAAGCATATTAGTCATAAATCATCCATTAGGTCAGTTTGTATAGCAAAAACGGTAATGAGGATGTGATCAAGTTACAGACATTTAGACGTAGCTATATCTGAAAGGAAACATATGGGAGAGAAATATGATAGAGGATTAGGATTAAGAACTCAATGGTTTTTTGGACATGTGCAAGTGGGACATTAGAAATACCAAAGGAGACTCATTCACCTTGTTTGCTGATTGTTCAAGCCTTTTTTAAAAGCCCTGCAGTGAGAGCTACTGACTGGGTGTTGATAGCTTTTTGTTATGCTTTGTGTGATTCTCTCTTGAATTAAAGTACAAATTTCTTATCCTGGATTAATCTAAACATATACCAAATTGAGCTCTTCAGCCCATGCCTACTAAAAATGGAACACTGGGTCTCTTTTATTTCTTGTACTTCACAGACTCATTCACTCAAGGAAATATACCATGAAAATCTTTAGATTACTCATATGGCAGGCACCAGGAATCTTAAGAATTCAGTCAGTAAAATATATCTGACATATTTTCTCTTCTGCTACAGAAACCAGCAAGAATAAGACACTACTGGTCGGTCCTCCACTCTACTTCAGAGCCAGTAGTGCAGTTTATAGGTCCTTTAATCTAAAAGACCTAACCTAAAACCTAACTTTCCATCTAAACCCAAAGAAGCTGTTCAGCATCTAAGACAATGATTGATGTCAATGAACAAATGAAGGGGAAGGAATTAAAACTTAATCCAAGGAACAAAGATTCCATTTGTTTTCGGTAGGATTATAAATTTGGGGATGGCTTTTAGATTTAATCCTGAATGTCGATGCCAAAGTTCTAGCTGTGGAGATAGACGTTTTCATAGTTTGGAGAAGTATGCCAGTTGGGCTCATTCCCAGAGATCTGTTCTGGCAGTGATGACCCATGACTGAACTATATTGAATTGTTCTATAATAATTCTATTATTACATTATATTATGTTATGTTATGTTACGTTATATTAGTTTTATAATCGTGGGGCTACTTTTAAAGAAGTGTTTGTACATTTTTAGCCAGCTCAGAATGTACTTGACAAATTTTTGACCTGGATCAGTTCTAGGGAGAATGTGATTTCCTGAGTACAGCAGTTTAATTACCTACCATTTTCTGATATAATTGAAAGTGTTGGTGGTAACCTAAAGTCTCAATGACTTGGAGTGGGGTGATTGTATCACAGTCTTGAGTCTTAATGAATCTAATTGGGTTTTAAGACCCTTGGGAGTGACTCCTCTCTCTGCCAGGCCACCTTCAGAATCCCCTTTGATGGGCATGTGACAGCAAAGCTATTTGATGAAATTCCATGGCAAGAAAGGCCATATTAGTAGGCAAAAAAGGCCACATTAGTATTAGATTTGTTGATCTTCTACCACCTGGCAAGATCACCTTTTGATTTTTAAGATCACTTTGCTGATGTAGGTTTCACTATGGATTTGTATTTATTTCTTCTTTGTGAATATATTTTAATATATCTGCTTTAATATTTAATTATAACTTTATAGTTTGTCTTGCATTTTCCTCTTGTTAACTTTTTTCTGCACCAATTGTAATAGAAAGGTTAGATATGAATAACCTGCTTGCTTCCTGGCAACCAGCTGCCATTTTTATTTAATATTTAGAAAGGTTAGATATGAATAACCTGCTTGCTTCCTGGCAACCAGCTGCCATTTTTATTTAATATTTAGAAAGGTTAGATATGAATAACCTGCTTGCTTCCTGGCAACCAGCTGCCATTTTTATTTAATATTTATTAAATATTTAGTGGTTATTTCTCATTGTTCAAGGCAGTTCACCATATTCTAGCTCCCCAATGCAATGAATTTTTATTAAATATTTAGTGGTTATTTCTCATTGTTCAAGGCAGTTCACCATATTCTAGCTCCCCAATGCAATGAATTTTTATTAAATATTTAGTGGTTATTTCTCATTGTTCAAGGCAGTTCACCATATTCTAGCTCCCCAATGCAATGAAGTATAAAACAAAACTGCAAAAAGGAATTGTAAAAGGAATTTTAAAAACACATGTGACCTTTTCAGGCATTACCAGTGAAAAAGAGGAAATCAACAAGTTGTTTGTGTGCATGTACAGTCACTATTTGCTATAAAGAAGGTAATGCCTGATAGACATTTGTGAAGTAAGCATGAATAAATGGAAGGATGTAAGTATGCACAGAATGTGTTCCTGCGTGTGTATGTATGAGAGACAGAGAGAGGTGCGTATACAACTCAGGTAATCAGCACAAATATTAGGGTCAATATAAAAAAGAGGCAGTGCAAAGTTACAATTACACAAGACCAAGTACACATAAAAACCGACATTATAAAGAATAAACGTTTTGCACTCACATATTGTCCACAAATTTCTTTGTTGCAGCAATAAAATTCATTTGTTGTTTTACTTCTTTGCAGTGTTTTATTTTTCTTTCTTTCTTTAGAAAAGCTCCTTCTGGTGCATAGGAATGGGTGGGAATTTCTTCTTTCCCTACAATGAATCTGATAAGAAAAGACAAACACATTTATTAGCTACCTGAGCTCCACTATGTCTTTTAAAACATATTTTTTATCATATTTATTGAATTTATATAGCCGCCCATCTCACACAAAGTGACATGTATTGCAGCTGCTTCTGATGATACTACAAGACAGGATATTTACAGTTTAAAACTTTTAGTGCAAGGTTGTTGCACTAAACGTATCAGCTTGTTGCCTGACTTGTTATATTTACCCAGTCATGGCATTCTGAAATGATGTGTTATTTTTTAAAAATAGGAAACCCTGCTTATTATTACAAGGTTTAATATTCTATTGTAATGTATTGCTGATAGAAGAGAGTTTGGAAAGTAAAAAAAGAATGCATTTCTCTATATATGAAATTTATACAAATACTACTTTCTGTTTTGTTTAATCACACTTGAGTTATAACAACTTTATATAGTGTTTCTGTTCAATATGGGAATGAGGTAACCAAGAGAAAGTGAGTAGCTGGAAGCTATGTAGCCTTTCCCTACAAATTATCAGTGAAAAAGAATCCCCAAAAGGGATGTCCATAGTCTTCTGAAAATTTAAGAACAGCCCGAGCACCATCATTTGAGAAGATATTTAAATACACAAGTCTTGCATACCACTTGATTTTCCCGTTTGAGGCAGGGATCCACAGCCTTATTTGGACTGAGGGCTCCACTTGTTCTCTAAGTGCAGTGGCACAGATGCAATCCAAAAAATACACACAGCTGGAAAACTAAATTGGAGTTCATTTAATTTAAACCCGGTTAATATTACACTGAATAAGTACAATTGCTATGCCTAACCATGTCTTCAGCGGTTTTCTCGTTTGATGACATTCACATTGCAATTCATTTCTGGATGGCCATGTTCTGCCCTGGGGGTTGCTGGTTGGGCACCACAGATTTAAATCTGCACAGAATTTCACTCCATCTGGGTTGGTCAGGCTGCAAAGAAGGGACTTGTTTGGGTTCACTTACTTTAGTGCTGAGAATGTAAATCCTTTCAAACCATCCTTGCTTCTGAAATAAAAATCACATATTGGGGTATGAGTAACCAAGAACAACCTCACCATAGAAGCAACTTCCAACATCACAGCCTTACAAATTATTTCCCACAGACTTCCAGTCAGTCAGCTTAGGATAATATGTCTGCCGACACTGTGATTTTGTTATATGTTACAGCTTTTGCGAGAACACGTGTAATGCAAACAGGAGTACGAAAAACGTCCCAAATGATATTAGCAGCTTCAGCAAGTTTTAGTAAAGCCCAGCTTTGGAAAAAAATTATTTTGATTTCCATTCCAACATTTGCCAAATAGTTCCACAATTTTGCCAGCAGGTGTCTCTAATCAGCAGCAATTCAACTGAAAATCACATCGAACTAATAAATCCAATGTTTAGATAGACCACAGACAGACATTTACTCTGGCAACTTTCTCTGAGATGTTTTACACATTAGTATATTAGCCACCAATTATGAGAGCTGGAAACATGCTTCAAATACAGATTTCCTCTTTAAAGTCCACTTTTCCTGAGGGACAAAAGAGTAATTTAATTTTATATCTAATAAATATTATGGAGATCGGTTGAGCCAACAATTTAAAGGGAAGATTTCAAGAGCATTAAAGATATTGTGTATATGGTACATGAGTGTTCGCCCCAGTAATCACCCTAACAATTGCCAAGGCAAGAGTACAAATGTAAATACAAATCAGTGTGCACGGTGTACTAAGGCACTAAACTGAGGAAGCTCCAGCTGACACTGTTACTTAAGAGTTACTTGAATATGTTGATGCAGTGCTGTTGCAATGTGCAGTTGTGACCTTTATTGTGTGATTTGCCTGCTAGCAGCAAGAATAATCAGGTGTGTGGGTTAAGGACCACCACCTGCCACACTGTGTAGTATTAAAGCAGTTTTCATAATTAATTAAACAAAATCTTTTACGTGACAAGAGATTCCGGGAAGGAATCTCTAAATAAAAGCCATCTTGTGTCTGTGTGTACAGGCACAAAAATGATGTTAATTTCATCTGCAAAACTATCTACCTGTCTGTCCGTCCGTCCGTCGGTCTGAAACAAAAGCAGCTGTGGATTTGGGAAAGGTCTTGAAAAACAAACATAACAATATTTAGGAAACAAAGAAACTTCTCTATAAAGTGAAAGGGATCTAAATTCCCTTATGAGACAAGAAAAGGACTGTGTACTCCAGACTGTTCTCATTTTAATACACATTGGCACTGGTTCTAGTCATGTACCCTATGAGATAAACAGCTGGCAATCTTACTGGGTGTCTGCTTTTGGTATATCTTTCTAAAACTGAGCCGTTCTGTTGATATGCAGCGAGACACATTCCTACACAAATCAGTTTATATTGCAACCCTGTACCCCAGAGATGAGAACTTATGGGCCCTTGATGTTGCTGAATTTCAATTCCAATTTAATTTCATTGGCCATGATTCCTGGGGATGTTAGGAGTTGCAGTTCAGCAACATCTGCTGAGCCACAGGTATCTTTTGGAGTACTGTAGGGGAAATACCCTTTAACCTTTAAACTCAGATGTTGCTTAGTAAGACTTACATTTCTTTAGCAGGCATGCAGGATCCTATCTGTTACAATGTGAGAAATCATGTCATTTATAAGAAGAATAAACCTGTCAAACGTTTTTGCTCTGATAATGTCAGTGAGAGATAAAAAAGATCAACCCCAAAGGTATTTTTACTCCATATCTCTCAAGCCAAGACATTCTGAAATTGTAGTTCTATTATGAGATTCAGAATATCTAAGAATATACTAAATTATTTCCAAGGACAGTGGAATAGACCTGAAAGCAAAGAATGTTTGTTGCATATGTAAGCCCTGAGCAAATAATTATTTATCAGGCTATGATTTGCTGTTAAATACATCACCATTTTGCATTTCCCAAAGGGGCTGCTGCCGTCAGCTCTCAGGTCATTCTTCTCCAACCTGGCACTTTCCAGGTTGGGAACTATAGTTCCAACACATCTGGAAAACTGACTTCTGCTGAGTTTATTTTAAGTGTAGAATCAGGACGAAAAGTTTCAGTCTACAGTCAATCACTAAGATAACAAACACTGTTTTGTCTGTAACCACCTAGAGATATAAGCCCTTATACAGGTAGTCCTCAGTTTAAGAACAAGTCCCATTCCCAAGGTCTGTCCTTAAGTCAAATCTGTACGTAAGCTGGAATAGTATTATTGTATAAGTAGTATTGTGTAATTAACTCGAACCATTGTGTATTTAACTCGAATTTTGCTACATTAGGCTCCGCTTTTAATTACGGGTTGTCCTTAAACCGGGTGTTCTTAACCCGGGAAGTACCTGTATTTCAAGAAATTCCCATCATCTGGAAAATTAGAGTGAAGCTGAAATCATGGCTTAGCCTTGCAATGCTTTGAATCAGCAAAATAACGATTCTTGATTTGCTAAATTGACAAAAAAATCTGTTCCTTAAGGGGATCAATTCAACTTTTACAATCATGCTAAAACCCACTTTCTTCTTACAGAAAGTCATATCCCTCCTGACCACTAAGAAAAGTTCCAATTAATTTGCCAGTACTTTCTTCTGCAAAAGTGAAGTTCTCCGTTGGCAAACTATGGAAAAGACAGAATGGCTCATTGTAGCACATCCTTTCAAAGAAAACTGGAACTGAAATTGGCTTGTGAGACAGACACCTGACAAATGGCCAACTGTTATACATCAGAATCATATGGGGGTAGAGGAAAAGAACTATATAAGTTTATGATTTTTACCCTAGAAGTGGCTTAAGAGAGATATTTCCAAAGCAGCTTGAGTGTCCTGCATTTCTTTTCACTGATATTGGCTGCAGCACTTATGAAATCAAGTAAAAAAAGCAGGGTGCTACACATCCTTTTCCATTTCACAACCTGGTGTTTGTATGGACTGGTGTTTGTATGGACACATGAAGAGTCAGCAGGAATCTATGGCTGAAAGCAGGCTTATCACACAGCTATTTCAAGATATAACAGTATTTCTAGTACCTATATAGACAGGAGGCATACATTACATGGTTTATAAACTTGTTCAAATTAAGAAACATTAAGTAAGAACTGCCCTGTATTTTGCTTTCTGACAGCTATTTCACAACCTTCCTAACTATTTTCATTTGCAATGAAATGTATGTCTCTAAGATATCTGAAGATCGTCCAACTCCAAGCTCCTTTATTTCATTTAGAAACAGTGTTTCCCCTCCGAAGAGGAGCATTGAACCAGATGTGGCTGGAGGACAAGGGGCACATTTACAACAAATACAGATGGACCAAGCAAGTCAGCTTCACTAAAGGACACAGGAAAAAGCTGTATCCCCACGGTGACTAGCTAACAGGGATCCTATCTAAATATAGCCATAATTGGAGGTGGGGGGGTGGGGAGTGTAGAAAGAAACTTGTAAAAGATTTTCCAACTCTCCTCACTCAAACGATACACAGACATAGACCAAGTAGAATCTGCAGCTGCTGGATATGCACATTTCTGATTGCAGAAGCTATATTTGCCTCCAGTAACTTCAACATGCCAAGCAGATCTGCCCATTTTGTGTCTAGCCACAGACCAAAACTAATTGCTCTTGTACGGTGAATGTGGGCGTACTAATCTTCTCTCCACACCCCCATTGTGAGTGAAGGCAAGAGGTCTCCACACCACTTTGTAGGGCTAAATGTCACCAATTAGCTTTCCATTTTTTTAGTGTGTCTTGCTGTAAACCTTTCAAAAATTCTCATTCAGAGGGTGACTGTCAAGAACTCCTCTGGTGAGGCTTAATCACTATAGTATGGAACAACAAGCTTCGCACACAGTGAAAATTACAAGCATTATAAGAGAAAATGTAACTTTAGAAAAACGATTAGAAAAGTAAAATGTAACTTTTCTTATAAGAAAGTTATAATTATGGTTATTTTCAGGAAAGCACAGCTCTAAGCCTGTCCTTTTTTACTTGTATTGTTAGCATTTCCATTCTGTTCTGATTATGAAAGGAAGATTGGGAAAGTCATAGTAAATGTCATGTCAAAAGAACTGTATATATTACTGGAAGAGAGAACTTTCTGTTATGTTTCGGTATTTGGTATCTTCTTCCATTTCAGAGATAAAGTTTTAGCTGTCAGAATTCTTTTACCATAACTGATAACAATTACTGTTGTTCTGCAGCACACAGAAGGTGCTTCCAGAAGTAGTCAGGAGTTACATTTTCTAAATAAGCAGATATAAACTAAGCAGGTCTAAAGCTATATACTGTAGAATGCTTTCAAGATCAGGCAAATGCTCCTTACGCTCAGCGCAAGAGGTGCAAATGAAAAGCAATGTCAGAGTTCGTCAACCAGCTCAATAAATAACATGAAAGTCAACTGTTGACATTTTGGGTCTGCATTGTGGACATTCAGAACTGGTGTTTGTATGGACGCATGAAGAGCCAGCAGGAATCTATGGCTGAAAGCAGGCTTATCACACAGCCATTTCAAGATATAACAGTATTTCTAGTACCTATATAGACAGGAGGCATACATTGCATGGTTTATAAACTTGTTCAAATTAAGAAACATTAAGTAAGAACTGCCCTGTATTTTGCTTTCTGACGGCTATTTCACAACCTTCCTAACTATTTTCATTTGCAATGAAATGATCATGACATAAAATATATCCAATTCCTTCCTGCCATGCTTTAACATTCAAATATAAACCTTTCTGACAAAACAAACAATTGATAGCAAGAACCAGGAAACAATCAGTCAAGAATGATTTGCTGGGGTTTTCCAGGTCCTCCTTTAAATGGAAAAATTGGGGAAGAGGAAAAATTGAGAATCCTTCCAAATATGATCAGCCTTGCCAACTTTTTTTTTAAGATTTAAAAAGAAATCATATACCAGGTAGTCAATGCAAACTGCAAGATGGAACATAACACAAAAGATAAGGGGAATGGGTGGAAAGAAACAGGATTTGT